TTTGTGCATTTCACTGTTTTTGTTCTTTTGAATGAATTTTTCGTTTAGCTTTGGAAATAAAAAGGAAATATTTTTCCCGAACTAGGCTTCTCAAATCTTACCAGTCTTCTTGGCCGGATTATTTGAATGATATAGGTAACCGAGTTGTCGAAGGCCAAATACCATATGTTAAGGAATTCTTTCAGATGAGTAGTCTCCCCTGAGGTTTGATAGGTGATAGAATATTCTTTAATTCAAAAGTGTTTTTAGTACCTAGTATGCTACATTATGTCGTCTAATGGAGTGCGGTTCATGAGTTACCAAGCCAAACATACAGTTAAATATACAAATAGAACTACAAATCTTTCAGTTAAAGGGACTTTCAGTCGCACAGTTTATTCATCATTAACAGATTTTCTGTGGTACCAGTATCAGTTCTATTCATGTGGATAGGTCGAGACTAAATAAATGATGTTGGTAGTTGATATTTTTATAAATAAGCTGGAAATTTTTTCGCTTTTTAAGGGTTCAGATCAATTAAAGTTAATTCACTGAATTTTCATTTCAAGTCTTCGACAAAGAAGATCATTTTCTTCATGACTGAAGTCCTCTGGAGAAGCTTTTAAATTCAGCAAAAAATAGGTTGCTGTTTTGTCCGGAGACACCTTAGCAACATTCACCCACGGCTCCACATAAGATCTAACTCATGCCTACAAGTGTTTTGCTGTTCACTGTATGCATAGAAGCGGATGTATGTTATGTAATATAACACAGAAGAAAACTCTAAAGTATGGATTTTATGTAGCTTATTAGTTAATCTCACTTAACTTATATTGATACTTTTTCCGAAACGATGTCACTCGTAATTCATAGTTAAACAGAAACACTTTGTGCTCGTATAGACTACTTACTAGTAGACAAAATCATAGCAGACATTTAAATGTAAAGTTATTCGACTATCAAAATTATAGGTTACATTTACCTGAGTTGCAATTATATCTTCTTTACATCCTTCAGGTTTTATTGAAATGATATTGTTTTTATTCTCACGCTAAAATAGTCATTTGAAAGTCGCAAGAAGATAATAAAAGAGTGGAACCATGAGCGGAATATTATAGCTTGGATTTTTTATTATATTGGAAATCTGTGTTTACGAGAGAATCTAATAACAGAACAAGATTTTAGTGCGTTAGTATTAACAGGTTAGTTTTTCTTAGTGTTTTCACCTTAGAGATAAAACGTAGAAATTTCAATGATTATTTCTTGATCATCCCAGACTTTAAAGATATCCTGATCTGTAAAGAAAGGTGAGCGTTGCGATAACTGTGTTCATTGATGACCATGAATAAATTTTTCTTGTAGCAACAATTAGTTTCTCCGTTACCTTGATTCGGTCAGTCATAAGTAACAGGATTTATTAAAAGTTTACATCACCTTCATTCCCCACATTTATCTTAGTTTAAAATATGTTATTCACATTCTGGTTTGTATACTTTGAGATACCTAATCAGTATCAACAGTAAACACTAATAGTATCAGAGAATATTACGTTAAATCTTCATTCCGTTTTGTCCACAAAACGAATAATATGCCTTCTATAACTAAATCGATATGAATCTTACTTTGTAAAATCTATCAAGAAACTACTTTTATGTCAAATTACTTTTCAAAAGTTTTTCAATGTACTTTTCAAGAATAGGAAACTAGACGACTTATTATAACCCACTGCTAATAAAATATCTCACTTGCGATCTTGACATATCCAAGCGAACAGATTACTATTTTTAAAAGCTGACTGATGTAAACCACCTTTTTACTGAGTTACTTGATGATGATTATTACAAAATCTGGTGATAAACCTTTCGTTTATGAAAACTAGAATTTTTATTTATCTTAAGCAAATCATGTTAAATATTATGAGAATAATTTTTTTGTTTAATTTAGACCCGATTTAATTCTTTTTGAATCTTCACCACACTTCGAAATCAGTAACTAACTACAGGCTGTCAGCAGATGCCGAATAACTTTTTGGCTCTGTGTCTTCTTGAAGTTATCATATCCATTTGTTTTATAAATCTATACTACCACGATATTGTAACTGCTGATGAAACACTTCCCCCACACTATTGGCACTTTCTTTATGATGAGTTTCGTTTAGTAAATCATCTTTAATGTAAATTTTTTAACGAACATATTCTTAAATAGAGAAGACATAAGGAATTGAGAAGATAACTATGTATAAGTTTTATTTCGGTGGTTTCTCATTAGCTTCTTACAACCTATGATATTTTTGAGTAAAACTTATCATAAAATGACCAAAATTTTTATAAAATACTTAAAATAAATATTCTGCTTGCTCTCCAAACGAACAGACTTACTTTAACTTTCATAATAAATGTTGAAAATAACTTTTTAAACGTTCCAAGAATAGCTTAATCTCTATACAAAATATGACGCTTTTTACCAACTATGAAATCAAATAAAAATGATTATTTACTAAATATAAACCGTTACTACCTTAATACATTGGTCAAGAGACTCGCTTACACTATATTACTAACAAGTAAGTTGTTATTGATAAAAACGTGGTGTTATTTGATAAGTTCTGAGTGGTACAGTAAGTGTGAAAAGGTCAGGTTTATAGACTGGAATGAGAATTTTTCATCAAGCCAAACAAGTTTAAAGACTATGAAAGAATCATTTTAAATTATTGCTGACTAATATCTGTTGGTTAACTCCACATGAAGCCCTCCTAAGGTTATCACCCGTCTCAAGCGCGGGTAAAGGAGGAGAGTCGGGATCATCAGGAAATTTCATTTAAACCATTGGAACTCTGGCCTGTAAATTGAAAGGTCTTCGTTTATAAAAGTTATGATCCCTCATAGTGAAAGCCAGGTTTCTTCGGAAGCTACAAGGCAGATACCTCTTATGATAACTAAAGCGGCAATCAGTATTGATGCATATAACTTCCCTCCTATATATGACTCTACCAACAAGGGAAGAGATTAGCAAGGTCACCAGATTAATCAAGAGTGGCAAAACAGCAAGACTAGACAGGATGTCAGCTTCGTCACTGAAGTCAGATATAGAGGTAACTTCAATGATATTCTATGTTCCCTCCAGAAATATTCGCGACGAAGAACAGTTACCCATAGACTGGAACGTGAGATACCTCATCAGGCTTCCGAAGATAAGAAATCTAAACGTGTCTTAGGACTATAAAGGAATTACACTTCTGTTAGTATTAAATGAAGTTCTCGACAGAATATTACTAACCCGAATGAAAGATTCAGTAGATACCTAACTTGGAGATCAACAAGCTGGCTTTCGTAAAGGTAAATCATGTACCGCGACACTGTGGATCATTGTTCGGCAATCATTAGAATGGAAATCGTCACTACACATCAACTTCCTTGACTATGAGAAGGCGCTCGACAGCATGAATAGGGAGAGTTATGGGGTCTTCTTCGACACTATGGAGTGCCTGCGAAGATCGCCACCCATCAGACAGAACTTCGACGATGGGCAAAACCCCAAGGTTGCTCACAGAAAGCAACTCACGAATATCTAACCATTCCTTATACCAGAATCACCAAATGTCAAATTTATTAAAATTTGAACCATACAGTGTAGACTTTTCCGAGTTAAATTATTCTCAGAAAATTGGTTTTCAGTACTTGGAGTAATTTTAGAGGTAGAGGCTCACAATTTATTCATCTAATTTTTATAAAGTGTATCGATAGTTACTAAAATGTAATGTATACTAATCAGTTTTTTTCACAAGCACCACATTATCTACAAAGCAATGCCAGTCTACCATCTATGGCTGTATTAATCAATCTCATAATTTGTGGAGAAGTGATGACTGTTTTTTTGTCTGTCGCTTAACTGTCTAGTGTTTGCTTTTCACTTATCAAATTTAGTGCTAAAGACATCAAAAGCAAGTGCGGCTAAAACTGTAAATTGGGACAACTCGGCTCCACTAAACAATATACTTGAGTATAAAATTGTGGATATATTTGATCTATTTAATTCCATTCAAATTTGTCACATAATTTGCTCCTGAATTTTACAAAACTCTTCCTTTTACTATCTCTAAAAGCTTGATCTTTCAAAAGGTTTCACTTAAAAATACTTATCTTCATTTCAGAATTCTCGCATGCATTGTCGCTATTAATCAACTCCACTGAGCTACATTGTAACGGTTGGACGAATAACAACGGATCATCCATAAATACTGACTGGGTGTTTTCGGATTCAATAGTGCTACAGAGGGAAATTATTGATATTCAGTACTATGTAAATGATGAGTTTAATACTGAAAAGTATATTGATATTGTTCCGAAGTTAACACCTATTTTTGGAACAATATTTGATTGCCAGGATTCTGATATGTCAAAAAAACAATCCATGGTTGATCAGCTGCTTCAGGATAATCTACAGGTTGTTATAAAACATTTTATTCAAAAGATTCTTAAGAGTAAGCCGAAATTCGAAGATCAAAAACTAAAAGTGCTCTGGAGATCGCCCAATGGCATTGATCGGAAGGTATTTTGTGCTATCATGCTTTAATGTTTTGTGCATCTTTAATGTGATAATTTACAGTTACTCGACGTTTCTGCAACTAAATATTCGGGTTAAATTAGATGTTTAGTCCTTCATACAGTTTTTGATACTTTTCATGTAAAACTACGATTTCGTCATATTTTTGAAAGGATTTACAAATAAATAGGCTTATGTTAGTATTCAGTGATGTTAGTTGCAAAGTGATCGTCACTACTAACAATAACTTTCCTGATACAAATATATATGACAGCTAAATGTTAGACTGTTTCTTTCAATGATTACTTCGATTTGTATGGAGATAAATATGTTATCTACTAGTCTTTTTGAGGACTTCACTTACCATCAAAATCTAAGCATTTTAGTTCGGTAAATGAAAGAGATTTTCTATGGTCCCAGGATGGAAAGTTCATTTTAATTAATATCTTTATAGGTGTGATATTTCAACTGTGTCGCTTCACTTGTTGATTCCGTACTTGTATTTATCGCCTGGTTTCATTAGCACTTGTAAATTGCATAATTTTTCAATGAAAATGGTCATTGTTATTCCGTGTTTAATCTAGACTACATGTAACCAAACATTTATTATGTTCAATGAAACAACGTTTTTTTGTTACACATTTTCAGTGCAAAAGTTTCCGTCCATACTGATCAATAGTTAATGGAGACACAATTAATGACTTACCAGGTAGTTATGCCTTCATGAACGAGTTGCGCGATATATGGTGACAGAGAAAATCATCAAATCAGGTAATAAGTCTTTTCCTGTCACCAATTGATTGAAGTGGAAAACAATGGTCATTTAGAAAAGGTTCATTAGAATATCGACTCCAGGATCTATATAGGTGCAGTTAATGTGCATTCCTGATGAATCTTAGAATACATGAAGTCAAATATTATGGCTACACTAGAGTTCCCTATGGAAAACGATAGGTCTATTGTTCATACGAAAGTGAAAGTGGACAAAGAAGAATTATTAATTACTTTAATTTTCGTGGCCAGTTACTGGAGTGTTTGGTAGAAATTCTCATTGTTCTCGTCGATTAGCAGTTAGCTAAATAAGAAAACTACAATTAAAATAATTCCAAATGAATATGTAAGGAATATAAAGAAACAGTGTAGGAACTGTGATCTAGAAAAATTAACAGGTGTATACGTATATGCTAATACAGAAAACTAAGCTATATTGCGTATAGTTTCCGAAAGCAGATTACTATTGTCTGAAATGTACGGTAAGAAGATTTGTAACATCATCCACTGGCTTATCTCCTTTACGTAGTACTCTATGCAAACCATTGATATTCATTACCCAGTGGTTTAGCAATTCCTAATCAACGCTATAAAGCGATCATATACTTGAAATCTACTTCCTTCACTTTCAGAGAAGGTAGCGTGGGAGGGCTGCTGTACATTATATATGCTCGTTAATATGTTAATATCTTGCCTGTTCCAAAGGCGGCTCTCGTTGAAGAAACCCATAATATACTTTTAGATCCGTCCTGAAATGTCACCAGACACGAACAGTCTGATATTGTAGTCATCGCTGTTTATTTGATACAGTATAGTTATTTTTACCCGAAGTTCATTGCTTTATGTATACAAAGAGGATTACGAGTATCACCACAGAAAAGTCATTGCAAATCACAAAATTTCCATATATAAGCATTTAATTAAAAAACAAAATACGAATCTTATAACTTAAAGGTGGGTACAATAAAATAAATTATCGGTATTAATCCCACTGTAAAATCCCGGTTATTCGATGTAGGTTGGTCAAATGAATGTTGCTTTGGTTTAAAGAAAATATGACCAAGTTAACTGAAATATAAAATTATAGTCTTAAATGGATATATTTAGTTAAACTGAAGTATACTGGGTAGGAACTATTGTCCAAATGGACTTCGTTCACAAACTTAAGGGTATTACAGCACAAGACACGTTTCATGGAGTATATTGATAATTTCTAAGTGTGATAATGGTCATTCACTTTACCGTTAACTTAATTCCATTTTGTGAATAAATGGGATTTAAACCATACTACTTGCAAGTACGCAAAGTCGTCAACCGAAAATATCTCCTAATTTAGCTGAATCAAACTTTTTTTTTCAGTTTCATAAAGATTATCTCTCCGAGTTTGTTACACGATTCAAGAATCTTACATGTGATGCGATTGACAGAAGAGCAAGGGCGAAAGTCGCTCTCATGTTACCAAATCTACCAAATGGTCATCTACAATTAAAAATAGAGGGAACTGTTGTTCCGTTCGTAGAGTTTGGAAAAAATGAAAATATGGAAAATACATTATCTGCACCTGTAATCACTTTACCACAAATTCAAAACAGACACACTCATTTAGCTAGAGAATTCCAAAAACGTATCAATCTCTGGGATAATGTATGGAATTCTTTAAATTATGTTAGATGGCTAATACCGATTGCAAGTTCATATATAAATGAAATAGAAACCTTATTATGTTATTTAGAAGATACTGATCCAACAGCACAGGTTCCTATGCTGGTTTATAGTACCTGTAAAACTACAGATAAAACAAATGAAGAACAGTTTTGTTTGGCTAATGGCGTAGCTGCTTGCTGTTTTCAAGAGGTCAGTTTTTATATTCTTACAGCAAAGTAAACTTGGTCATTTAAGTTATTATGTTATTCAACCATACCAGATTCGATAATTGTTTTCATTGGTGACTTATTTCACTCCAACTTAATATGCATAGCAATAGTTTGTTCACTTTTGGTTATAGGGTAGTTTTAATCCCGTTATCTTAACGTGTATATTTAAAAAAGATGACCCAAAATAATATGACATCAGTATATTTATATTTGTTTTACTAAAATAAACAGATTTAAACTTGGTGAAAGATGTATAATAAATAATTGTCTTAATATTGTTTAACAAGGAAAATTTATTGGATGTAATAATACATATTTAGTTAATTTACTTCCCGGTAGAAGATCGAGAGGCATACAGACGAACAAATAAGATTTAGCCTGTATTACTACTTGTGTTACCTTGAACACAAACCTGCAACTTTCTTTTATATTTATGTATCTATCCATAGGCATATTAAGCAAAGGAATTTTCGATCCATCAAGTTTTTAACCTGATTTGATCCGAATATCTGAGATTTGGTCTTTTTCACGTTAAATTTCCTGTGTTGGTTAAAATTATTCTTAGGGATCGTACTATCTTACCTCGAATATAGCAATCCTTATTTCACTACGATATTCGCGAATATGTGATGCCTTAAGAAAGCTTTTATTACGTAGATGTTTTACAATACTTTGTTCTTCAAAACACCAAAGTTCACCCACTTGTTTAAATTATCTTAAAAGTAACAATTTGAATAGATCTTCGTGGTCATAATCAGCATACAAACACCTTAATTCTAAATTGTTAATCCAACTATATTATGCTTTATACTTTCACCAGTATGGTAATCAAACAATGAAAATATATCGTCTCTAGAACTCAGTGCGAGAATATGATTAAACTTAACACTGGTACTTCTATATATTTTTTCCGATTTATAGACTAATACATTTCGGATCATTACAAATTTTTAAAATGATCCATTCAAATCATACGATTTTAGAATTACATTACAAAACTTAAAATATAATTTTATTTGGACATTACAAATACTAAATCGTTGTTTAGTTTAATCTTTGGTTTATTTGCCTTTTATTTTAAAATTTATCCCTTAGGTACAAAATCGACTTAATGCTAATTCAACTGATTGTTTACTACTTATTCGAATATACACAAATTCAATTCTGATCACAGATGTTTTATTAGATTTGGCTGAACAAATCAGTGTGGTTTTACAAACTGATATCGGTACATTAAAAACTACAACTCTAGCCTCCTTCCTGTATTCACTATCATGCTTACAAACAAAACATATTTCGAAGTCAATTATCATCATAATTGGTGGCATAGAACACCTTGAAGTAAGCGAGTATCAGGATTCTATGGAAGGCTTACTACCTGTTCTACAAGCAAAACAATTACCAAGACGTCTGGCTAGCGGAATAAAGTTGATATTATCTGGCAATCTGACAACGACCAAGCTAAAGGAGAACATTGAAGAGTCAGAAATGGGAATTAGTGATGGAATATTATTACCTACAACAAGTTTAAATTTGGAGGTATGCTCTAAAGGTTTATCTGGAGGACTTACAAACTGCATGCATAATTTAACTAAATTAAATCATTGTTTAACTAACGATAAACTTCTCAGTGTTCATCAACTGTTTCAATTAATTTCCGAAGAAAATAATTTACCGATTTTAGCATGTGCTACAGGTTTATGCATTTTACCAGATCTACCATCTGAATATATCAAAGGAAATGACTTAGTGTGTAAGTTGATCCACACACATTTGAATGATTTCATCTCCTATTTCGGGAAATATTTCTGTCACCATACAGTTGAACACCTTATTTATCTACTTATTACTGTAGGTAACGGAAAACTAAATAGTCCAGGTGCAACCATACATGAATTACAGGAGATCTTAAGTTTACCATATGAAGTGCCTACAAATGAAACATCTCAACAGTATTTTGAAAACAGTAATACTCCGGTTTTTGACAATGGCTGTTTATTATTACTGTTACATTCTTCTGAGAAAAGCTTAACTGCTCGTCTTGGACATCAAAGTCCAGTTTGTTCTTTAGATGGATACTTTGTGTACAAACTTTTTACTAAAAATCAAGTGGATCCAAAGACAACGAATGTGGTCAGCAATATGTTGAAGAGTTATTTTTTGAATGAATGGTATGAAAAAAGTAAAGATTTGTTTTTCCTAAAACCATATAGCATTTCCTTTCATTCAGTTCACTACACCGTCCCTCGTGGTTCAAATAATCCTAAGGAGGCTTATGGTTGTGATTTACGTGTTTTAAATTACAATGTTCGTTACCTGCGACACCTATCATTCTGTTTACTGAATTCAAAAGATTATTACGAATTCAGCTATCGGACAATATTCTGTTTTGATTGGCTTTATGGGAAAATTTATTCAATCGGTGTTAAACAAGTACTGGATGATTTACAAATTCTCATTGATATGTTGTCTAGTCTAGATAATCAGTCTAACTTTACCGAAAATACTGAAACAGTCAGATTTGCATCAAGTGTTGTGCAAAATATACTTACACAATTAAGTAAAAGTTTATATAATAATCCAGACAGTTTACCAACTGAACTTTTTGGATATTTGATTCGTTTCACTTCAAGATTCATTAACTTTGGAAAGCAAATGTCCGAACCTGGAAGAATTTCTTTAATTGATTTACTTGTAAAACAGTGTGAAATGGAGATTGTCAAAAGAAGCCATCTGTTACCATTATACTCTTATCCACTTACTGCGGGTAACCCCCTCCTAGGACAAATCACCTGTGCGACACCTTTATTAAATTTACGTAATTTGAACCAAAATAACGATGCGTGGAAACTAAACAATCAAATATTGATCAAATTGAGAAATGATCCAATTATTTATCGATATGATTGTCAGCAGGAACGAGAGATCCCTTGTTGGAAATCAAGTTCCGGATATTTATACTTGACACCTAATGGTAAATACGCCATTATTATAGATGAAGAGAAAAGAGACACTCTAAAAATTCATCAAATCGATATAGATATCGATGGTTGCGTACCGCTAATAGGTCAGATTAATCCAGGATTGTGGATTAAACCAATATGGACCAAACACCCTGACAAGCAAACATTGAGTATGGATATTATCTTCCTCGATATCACTGACGATTATGTGGGGTTCATTGTGCAGACTAAAAATACACGAAGTTTCTTAAATCCAAGCGAATATGTTGATTATCTAGAAGATGGAGATGAGAATTTCCACAATAACGTCTGTGACCGCAATAATGACACAGACAAAAATACGACTAAGGGATCAATCCATAAGTCTATGTCTTTGCACCATCTCTCCGAAAGTTTATCTGCTGGTACAATTAATCACGTGGTTATCTTCGAGTTGACTACAGGAAAGCCTTTACATCTAATAAGTCCAACACCGTGTGCTACACTAGTTAAACTTGTTCAAGTCAGTAGAGTAAACGAGAATGAATCACCATATGTTAGTATTGATGATAATAATGAAAGTATAAATAGAAATTGTGACTTATTTTTTATAAATTCAGCCGACCATTTACTTGGTTTTCATCTAAAATCCGGTGAACAGCAATTCTCAATTGATTTACAATTTGTACCACATAAAATTTTAGTCAGTAATGACAATCAAAGATTATTCATCTTGGACAGTAATCACCCATGTGTTTTACAACTATTAATCAATAAATTGGGTCAAATTAACAAATCGTTTCGAATTTCTTATGATGATCTAATCACAAAAGATAATATTCTCGATATAAAGTTATCGAAATACCACTCATTTTTACTGATCCATGCCAAAAAGAATGTTTTAGTCTATGACTATGAAAACGATGCTGTATTTGTTCATATCACACGTCCAACTGGTATACCAAGAGAATTCCGCCTACCAAACACAAAATATCAAAGTTTAGTTTTTACAGCTGTTGAATTTGCACTAAACGATCAAATTGTCTTAGCTGCAATATTTCGTAATATTTTAATATGGGATGTACGCCTAGGTGTACAATTGACTACACTAACATCATCCATCGGGGTAATCTCACGTTTGCTAGTTGATCCCTCAGAGAGACAGCTCATTGGATACATAAGCACATCAAAGATTTTAAATTTATGGAATTTACCGCTAGCACTCACAAACGCTACATTAAAACAAAATTCTGATACAACGCCTGTTTCGTTTCTAAATGAAAGTAACAGGATAGATTGTCTAACTAAACCAATTAATCAACTAATTTACTCAAATTCATCCAACATACTGTTAGTGACCTGTCATAATAGTGATGAGTTAGGCGTATTTGACTTACGCAGCGGACATCTTACTGACGTGTTTACGCATAATGGAATAGTTCAATCAGTTGTACTTAGTTCATGTGGTAAGTATGCTTTAATTGGTTTGTCTGTAAACAACCAAACTGAGGAAAATGCAAATTTAATCTGGGATTTATCCAAAAGACTGATTGTTGTAGAATATGGTAATCAGGTTGGCTTTCATATTGAGCGCATTAAAAAGAACGGCCATTTTCTTCATCTAATGCCAGAGCTGGCTTTGGATAATAATACACAGGGATGTTCTTACGTAATTTTACAGGTGGAAATTGATAAAACGAATAGGGAGGAAAACAAAGCTACCATCAAACCAGTTACATCCACCAGACTGTTATCTATTATCCCTGGCTCCAAGCCTTTTGTGACATCAGATGATGAACATTTAGTCGTCCAAATGGGAAGTAATGATGAATTGAAGCAAGGTGCTTATATATGCCAAGAACTAGCATTCTGGAGCTTTTATTCTTCCGAAAATGAAAGTACAGAACAAAATGGCAAATTATGGTACACACATACCAAAGAACTTAAGACTTTACTGACTGATAATACAGAATATGATTTACATATTTTAAACTGTGCGCCTATTCAAAATGAGTCCTCTCTAGTTGTTGTTATCTTTGCAAAATTCAATGATCGCATAAAGTCTGATCTTTCAGTTGATTGGATTACAGGCATGGGGTTACCAAAAGGTATGCTTTTAGCTGAAATTGTTAAAACTGATCAAAGTGAATTATCAAAAGAATGGATGCTTGTCATACTGAGATCGATTACAGGATTAAGTGAATGGTCACCATTTCAAACTCTTCATTATTCTTTCCCGAAGCACGAGCTGTACGATTCTACTACTGGGCAATATTATATCCTACCACCAGGAACAAGACATGTGTCACATGAGTATTTTAAGAAGCACATGCCTCATTTCACAGTACAAACTAAACAGTATACAAATTGTAACCCAATAAAATTTCATGGTTACGTACTGAGCGATAATTTATGCATTTTCTCTCACCATTCAACAATCTATTTAGTTAGACCAGCGTTAGCCAAAATTGTTACTTTTATTGACGTACAACATACTATAACAACGATCAGTAAAAATCCATTTAGTGACAGAAGTTTATTTATTGGTACCCTTGATGGCTATATTATTTCATACTATATTACCACTGATGATAATTTAAACAATGAAACCACTGATACCCAGTCAGTATTGAAAGAAGCTCATTTAAACATGGATTCAAAAGTAACTGAAAGCATTGGTCAACACCTAAACTTCTATTCTACTCAAGATAAGATGAATGATGTAAAATATTTAGATCCAATGATTCATTATCTGCCTTTTAAGCTTATAAAACCAGAGGACTTTAAACTTTATCAACACTGTGGACACTTCGGTGAGAGACGATCACAAACATGTTTACTTATTTGAGTATAACAGCTAAATGAAATATAAACAGTTTAGATTAATTAAATCGTTCTGTCTTTTGAACACCAATTTATTTTTAGTTGCTGAACACTGGTTTTTAAACTAATAACTTATATAAATAAATTACATTAATTAATCACTAAGTAGTTACCAGTATCAGTTTTGTCTTATTCTTAGTGTTGATATAATTCTGTCGATCAAATTGTAATATGGTCACTAATCCCAGTGACTCGGGTAACGCGAGTTCGGATCCCCCAAGAAGTGTCAACTCCATCAATATTGTAGATCCAACTTGTTGACGAGTATAAACTATCATGAAACCTAAGTCCAGGATTTCCTGCCTTGTACTTCAAATCACTTAATATATAAATAATTGATAACAGTTGTATTGATTGGAGAAAATGACGTTTTTAGTTATTCGAAGTCTCTTCTAGATGAACGAGAAAAGTCACTTAGGCTACGAGTTTTAGATAAAGATCCTTGTAACAGTCAAGTGAAATTATGAACGGTACATCCCAATCATAAAAGCTGGATGATCAGTATTTCAGTACAACTGGATGGTTATATACGACTTTTATGAATAACATTTAGATGTCTATGGCACTCATGTCAAGGATGAGTTTTCTTCATAACATTCTTTTTGTGACATTACTAAACACCAACTTTTCTTTGTATGGTAAAACGTTTTAGGATCACAAAGATGAGTGTAAAACCTGAGTACATATCACAGTTTGATGAGAATTGATGTGTCTGTTGTGATTTAGATGCCAGTTTCTGACAATCAAGTTTATTTAGATTGAGAAAGTGAATGAATCAGTGTCCAAATAATTCACATTTCTAGTCAGCTGATACATAGCTCATTAATTCTCTAAGCTACCTTACGTGTATTTTTCTATCACAACTTTTGCACCTTTCAAATGTGACAGTTGTATTGTGACACAGAGAACATCCCTCTGATGTTTTCTACATGATGGACATTACTTGAGAGTCTGAAGTACCACCACTCAGTAAGTAATGATTTCATTGAGTTCTTAGTGCAACATACAGCCTAAAATTAACCTGTTATGAATATGGCTTCCCATGTCTAAATGTCATTAAGAAAAAGCGGGTATCGGAAATCTCATTTTAATTAAGATGTATTTCCACAATGCATCTTCAAATTTTGAATTAACTTTCTTCACTAATCAAGACATGACACTCTAGAGTAAAGGTCAAACCTGCTCACGCCTAACAGTTTGGGTAGCTACAAACATAGGCTACAGAAATTCGGAATGGATTTTCGGAGTCAAATAGATTATGTCATAGTAATGACTTACTAAATTTTGTAAATATATATAATTTTTGTCGTACCATCCTTTCCTGCTAAATAGATAAATTTAACCTTAATCGTTTGAGAGTGAGTGACAAGTGTTCACACGACATCCCATTATTCTGATTTATCTTGAATTACTAATATAATGTTCAGAGTCAACTAGATGGCTAACATTAGAACAGTTTCAATAGTGCTTACTTATGAGCTTAGAATCTTTTAAACAGTGATAAAAAGTATAGATATAAGTATTAATCATTATTGTTCCAGTGTACGTTCTCTGAGATGCACATAAGAACTAGTAGACGTATTAATAACGTATTAGAACGTATTATTAATATTTTGTCAGGATCCGTTATGTATATTAATTTTGTGCTTTGTGTAACTATTCTTGCGGGAGTATTCTAACAATATCTATGCATGAAATGAAAATGGTTGCCAGACTTAGTCATAGTAACAGTAATATAGGTACACTCAGATGGCCTACCACAGAAATCATTTAAAGGATCCAATTACATCTATCAGCTAATATTTTATGCAGTTATTAAGCTTACAATAGCAGACCAGGTTTGGTAAACTATTTACCGATAATTATATCAAGGTAAGAGCTTATTTCGGTTATCCTTAATTCATATTTCACCACTTTTTTGGTAAGTAAATACTACAAGAAATAAGTATTGGGCTAATGTATTTAAATAAACTTTATATACTTTCTGATAGAATTACTTAAAGATAGTCATTCTAAAAGTATTATGTCCACTGAAAGCCAATTAAATTATTGTTTTATTCTCTTCAACGTTCAACTATCAATAAATATCATCAGCTTATTCCGTCCAGATTTGTTAGACCCCTCTATAGGAGTATTACGCTTTAACGATTTAGTTCAAAAATACCATTCAAAACATGATGTTTCAGTAACTTGGTATATTGTACATGCATATTCATGTGTTTTAATCAAACACAAATTGTTATCCTGATGCGTAGGGGTTAGTATTGGCAACTTGTAGCAGTTGTACGTCTCACTCGTGAGTCTGTTTTAGATTTTTTCTAAAATATGAAAATTATGATCTCATAATGTCTGTTTATCCCATCCCTTAACCTCTGTTGACAAACCTACCTAGCTTTATAGAAATATCAGCATGATATTTACTAATTTAATGTTTGCAAAAGAATAAATATAATTTTTTGCTGAAAATTATTTAATAAATATTGACTGACAAACAAAATCACGACAAAACATTTGGTTTGAACAAATATTTGGCGTAAACTTCAAATGATAATGAAATTTTTGGTAAAACTAACGATATGGTTCATTTATCAAGACGAATGGTTGGGTTTCTGAATTAAGTTGATTGGGTGATTAAGTGATTAAAATCAAATAGAGTCTAATTAAAAAGTCTGAAAGTGTGATCATTAACAACACTATTGTGAAGAAAACTAACAAAAAGGGTTAAATTATGAAAGGTGATATGATACGGGTGAAAATGAGAAAGAAATAGGATCCTGAGGAAAGAATTAAAGACTGAATTCAACAAACAATAATCGCTTAGAAACCTCTCTTACTGATCTACAGGTTTTTTTAATCAGATTATTTTAAATCTTAGCACTGAATAGAACATTCGTCTCTTCTATGCTAATTTTATCGATGTTCCATCCGGATAAACTCAGAGACATGTGAATTCCTCCAGGCTGAATGTTTTCGAACACCATGTAGACAGACTCAGTTTCAAACACTTCAAACGGCCTGCCAGAATTCAATTTATTTTGATACAACTTATCAAAGCTGTAGATATGTGTGAATGGTTTCCAGTTAACCATTTTATTCACTAGTATACCACATCGATCATTTTAGCTCCATAGATTAAATGAATTTTAAGTAATGTGTCTTGGAAATATCGGTGGGGATTTAAACGCTTGTTTCTTCTGTTTAGAGAAAGGGTAAATAATTTCAAAAGTGTATGAAGTATTGCTTCATAATTATTCTAATTATACTTTATCCTATTTTTCAAGATATTATTCTCTGTATATGGCTGCTCTTCTCACACATTTTGGGTATTGTAATTACTGATTAACAAAATTACATTTGACCATAGATCAACTCACACTATGTCCTACAAATTATATTTGATAACTATATAAGTTAGAAAAAATATTAACTAGACTGCACTAATATTTCCGTACTTAAGCTACTTTAAATGAAAACCTATTAAGGTCATTTTGTATGTAGAAAGCGAACTAATGAAGTTTCTTTTTCTAGAAATGACTATAGGATTCCATTTGCTTCTTTGTGGTAGCCAATTAAAACCAGGAAATCCCAAAATATCTTATATAAAACCATGAGATTATTCATGAATTCACATAGATATCCCATGATTTTTAAACACTACTTACCTATAATTAGTTACTTAATCTTGTACAGTCTAGAAGAGTACAAGTCGTAGTTAAATGCCACAAATTAATTTTCGAGATATAGCGACCACAATAAGCATGAAATATGGTTATTTCAGACAACCGATAAAACCAGGGTTTAAGATTTTTTAGAAATATGTTTCACTTCTATGAGGAGAGGCAGTTTCTTAGCTAAAGTACTTGATTTTCGACTCACAAAATCTGGTTTTGGACCCTACTCTACATATTATGGTCTAACGAACCGGATAAAATCATAATGAATCCTATAAAATGTGTGGCACAAAGCCAATTACATGAAACTCTACTTGAGTCATTGTTGACTAGACGCTCTTCTTCCTTAGAAAAACTAAATTGCTCCCGAACTCAGGTTTCATTTTAGGAAAGTAACATGTACAGCTGTAAGTCACTCTATTCATCAGTCCTTTGTATTGAAAACTCTGTTACAGAGATCGGTAGTTTCACTCACTCATTATTTTACTCTTTTGGCTCTTTTATCAGTAGCTAGGTATCGTTAAAAAAAATTAGTAATAAAATTTGTCCACTACTGCTCAAACGAAAACTCTTCCAGTAATAACGACGAAAGTATTGAGGTGTATGATGATAATAAAGATACTGGTCATGAATCATCAAGTTGCTGTATATTCGATCCACTCCTGTTTTCTCTACCTTTTCACTGATATTTTACTTTAGTATTTTAGTTTATCTTTAAAGGTTAATGGGCACTATCACAACTAAATACCTTTTTAGCATTAGTTGAACTTCCTGTTTAAAAAGTTTGGTTGAAGACAAGTACACAGTATGTAATATCCTACTATCACTTCAGACTGTCGTAAAGATTTGCACTTAATAATGTAAGATGACTTGGTTGCTTATATTCATTAACATAATACTTTTATTAGTAATCAAAACTGTATGATCAACGTGGAAATTATCTCTGATACAAATTTACGAGGAACAGACTTTAACATATTCCTTATTAGAGTTCATAAGTGTATATGGTCAGTAATTTCTGATTAATCCATCCTTTCAAGGAGCAGTAGGATGAACTGAAGTGATTACACTCTCAGTTCTTGGATTACACATGCCATTACCTGGTTAGATTTTGCATCTATACGTTTATTCAGTTTTTAACATACGTATTCAGTTTTATTTCCTTTTCACTTTTTTTTTCCGACAATTCATGGTGAGTTGAATTTATATGAAAACAAAATTGAGAGACTTTCTTCAGTCTATGATATTTGAATGGTAATTTTGTGATTTGATCACGGAGAAATTATTATTCGCCTTAAAGTTCAGAGGTACTTATTCTCATTACTGAATGAT